CGTAATTGTCGTTAAATTCTACTGTTAATGGACACGCGACGCCTTTATAAAATTAAAAAAAATAAATTAAAAAAACTTCAAATTATAATTTTTAAAAGGAAAAAACCCAAAATTTTATAAAAATATAAAAAAAAAACTTCAAAAAAATTAAAATCCTAATTTCAATCCTTTTTTCACGGTCGGTCGCTATCACATCATCAATCGGCTGGCTAACCACCTACGACCAAAACCCTAGTTTCCGCAATTGGCCGAGCATCCAACTGGTCGTAATTCAGGTTTGTCGTGGTAGCATTGTTCGTCGTAATTTTGGATTCGTCGGATTATTGGTCGTCGATGAAGGCACGACTAGTTGGAGGTTCGATTAGCATATAATTTTGAGTTTTTTATTTTAAATAAAATTAAATTACTAGAACGTGATGCATATATTTAACGTTTAATGGTCGGGGCATTTAAAGTGGTAATGTTTGTAACCTTAGGTAGGGGTGAGCATTCGATCGAGTCGAGTCAAAAAAATTTGAGATATTCAAGTTGACGAGTCCTATTTTATAACTCAAAGTTGACTTATTTTTTTTGAGTCAAGTCGTGTTTATAAAATTCGAGTTGAGTTGATTTAAGTCGAATTTTTGAGTTTCAGTTTAAATTAAATTATAAATGTTTACAATATTATGATGTTATTTGATTTAAATTTAAATGATATTTTATAAACATATACAATTCATATATATTTCTTCATATTTTTCTCATATGTGATTTTCATAATGTGATTTTCATATATCATACAGAGTCGAATGACTTAACTTAAAATTTAATCTATTAATTATTAAAAATTTCGAGTTATTCGATTTGTATTTTACAACTCAATTTGAACTTAAATTTTTTATAATTCATTAATTTACATACCTCTTTTTAAAAAAATAAAAAAATCTCATTTTTTAATTTCTATAATCGATCTTGCTGAAGATAACAATACTAATATATAAACACGATACCGAAAATATGAAAATAGGGGGAGTGGAGATTTTGTTAATTTCAATGTATGTAATGAAAGCAGCATAAGAAGTTTAAAAAATGTATATTAATAATGTACATTGGAAGGCGGTTTGAAATTTTGTTTTTATGTGTTTGTTTTGGACCGTCACATTATACGAACATCACACGGTATTGTCATTATCATGCTACGTGACAAAATTACAAATTTGGTTGTATAGATGAAGTGAAATATAATAAAAACGTAATTTTAAAAAAAAATTAAAATATTATATATATGCTTTTTAAATAGAATATATATATAAAAAGGAAATTGAAATAGATTCAAAATAATTTGATTATTTAAAGCTGGAACTATTTTCAAGTTGCTACACTTATTATTGCCTCAAATGATAACATGAATTCTTTTTTCATCAAAATCAATTGATTCATACTGACATAAACTTTTGTATGTGTTATATGTGTTAGAAGGGGTGTTTATATATGTATATATATATATATATATATATATATATATATATATCAATATTTCAACCGAATGGGTAATGATATCTATTTGAACTAATTAATGATTTATATATAAAAAAAGAATCAAATTATGACACACTCATCGATACGCAATGAACCTCCACCGATAAACACAGAAACTTTCTCTTTTTCCTTTCGTTCCGTAGATTCCGCTCTCACCCTTTAGAGATACCTCCAATGATAATTAACCATGATTACTAACAGTAAAATACTAACCCAAAATTTACTGATTTAAGACATACAATCCAACTATCTTTCAAATTGATATTTTTCTTAAAATCGGCGAATTCAAGGTATATCACACCAAATCAAAAGATTATAAACTAATTTGTAATTAAAAAATTGATTAAGGATGCATAGATAATTAAAAGAATTGTAAAATTAAATATTCTACAATATCTGTTATATAATTGTTACATGAATTCTGATTATATCTGTTAATGAAATTAGATCATATTCCTAAATAAATCTTAAAACTGAAATATTTCTTAAAATATATATATCGAATTTATTGTTATTTTATCTCGACGAATGTCTTAACCTTAGCTTTTGACCTATTATTCTCTCTATAGAGTATTCTTGTATATTATTTATTTACAATCTAACGTGCATGCATACTACTCTCTTAGAATATTGGAACTTTGATTATATTAAAGCAAAAAAGGCTAGTTGAGAGAAAGCTTACCCATTGATGGTGCTGTGAAATCATGGGCTGTCTTGAATTCATTCATCTGCATCAAGTTCCAGGCCAAGGCTAACAATTAAGAATGTAAAATTGCAGACAAAACTTACCCAACTTGGTGCAGCACCAGAATGGCCATCGCAGCAAACATAAGCCACGTGTATAACATCTGTTGGATACCCAATTTCCATCTCTCTCTCTCTCTCCTTCACAACTACAACAAAAAAAAACCCCTTTCTGTAACCCCAGGAAACATTTGCAGAAAGAATATGTGGAAAAGGGACCAAAGGGGACTTACCAAAGATTTTGGAAATGATTTTGAGATCCCTTTGATCTTTGACTTGGTAGCCATGATGCTGGAACAAAGGGGACTTACCAAAGGGACAGCCGATTCAAAGAATGGTTGGATGTTGAAGGGAACCCTCTTGAGTCAATGTGGATCCAGTCTTCGTATCTTTGTTTGTTGTCAGTTTTGGTGAGTGGACAAAACATGCAAAAAAGGGTATATCTGAGATGAAATAAATCAAACGCAGGGAGGCTGAAAAGGCAAGCAAAATGGATGCTAATGGCGGCTTGAATAGAGTGTGAGCAGATACCTTTAGTAGGCTGCTTGTTATTGGGAGCGTGTAAAAATGGGGAATTCAGGCCATTGTTATGTCTTCTTAAGATAACTACGAAAGGAAATATGCAAGTATTTTTCTCATTAAATCCGGAAAGAAAATTAGAACGATTTGGATAGGGACAACAGAATATAGGGTAAATTACTTATTTAGTCACTAAATTACATAGCTGATTATATTCTGACCATTAAACAAAAAGTTTTGTTAATTAAGTCACTGACCCTACATTTTAACAAAATTGTTGAGGTGACGGTTTTAAAATTTATATAATAAAACATTTATCCTCGTTACTTATACATTTAATTAATTCCACTAGTTTAACTCACTAAATTTATAAACTTTATTAATTTGATCTCATCTTAAGACCGAATGATCTCACCGAGTTAAGAGAAACGGGCGAATTACGTCTGTTTCGAAGAAGACGGTGTATGTTTTGTAGTTGATAGTTTGGCTTTTTAAACTACATTTCGAGTGCTTTTCTCGGTTAAAACGGATGAAGGTAAATCATACTAAAAAATATTTAAATAATGTTTATAACATATTTTGAGAAAATAATTATGAAAGATAATTCGAGAAAAATTTAAAAAAGATGAAGTAAAAAGATAACGAATATTCAGTACCTCATTTCTTAAGTAAATATTAAAAATTTAAATTTTAATGATATGAATAGGGCAAAAATAAAAGTCGTTTTAATTTCTATTCAATTCTGACTTAATGGACACTTGTTGTATAAAGATTTTAGTGTAGGAAATAGATATATACATCAATTGGATAGTTAAATTAGATAATAAAAAATCTAAAAGAAAAAGTTCATGATCCACCCGTAACACTACCATTAAAGATCTCAAGAGTGTCACCATGGGCAACTTGATGCCACCTAAACGACCGATTATCGTCCATCACATTTTGTTTGTAAATAAAAAAGTAGCCTTCTTGTGGCAAATGAAAATGAAGCCTTTGGTGCAATCTCTGCAACTCTTTCCTCAGCTCCCCAACATTATCCGTCGCATTCATTTCCACCGGTACCTTCTTCGTCCCGCACTTGGGCAACACTAACAGCTTCAACTTCTTCGAACCCGACCCCGTCCCCAAATTCGTAGGTGACGGCTTGGTATCGACATCGATATCGTTATTCTCCATCAGCTGGCACTCTCCACTCGACTGAACTACTAGCTGATTCACTGGGACGGGTTCTATTTGGTTGTTAATCTTCTCCTTTGGTTGTAGAAACGTGACGTTGGCGTCCGTTTCGACGGGGATTGACGATGGGATATGGACTTTGAGTTGTTTTTTCTTGGACGGCGATGAACTTGGCTGTTGTTCATTGACTTGGGGTGTGTTTTAATAGAATTATTATCGGAATCGGAAGCGAGGAGTAATTGAATACGTGAGTTTTGTAGGATTTGACAGTACTCGACGTCTGTTTTATCTGAAGGACATGGCCATTGAAGACTAGGGTTTGGTTAGGTATGGGTATTCCCTGGTATTTCTGGATTTTTTCCTTGATTTCAAGAACCGTGTCGAAGAAACCAACTTCAATGGAAAATGCTTCGCCTCTCTGGGTTCAAAGAAGACATCCATTTCAAGACTTGAATGGCGATTTTGTCTTGGTTTTTTTTTTATGGAGGTTTTGTGTGAGAGTGTTGATTTATGGCGAATAATCTGGTGTTTGTTAACATCTATATCCCATTTATTGCAACCGTGGGCCGTGATTTACTCATTTATTTCTCTAGATTTTGAAGATTCGGAATAAATAATCAATTAATTTTGCTCTTTAAAGGGTTCGGGTTTTCATTTACAATTGGCAGATTTTGTTTACCATTTTGTCATTCACTACTGCTTTTGTTCACAAGAGAGAAATGTCTTTACCTTCTCTGCTTTTTTAATCTTTTATTAGTGGAACTGATGAATTTTCATTTTATGATAGTATTGATAGAATGGAAACAATATCTTATCTAAATTAATCAATAAATCATTCCTCATATGTAAATGGTTATACCAATAAAAAGAATTAGTCCAATTTTTACCACAATTTCTTGTTAACTCACCAACTGTATTGCTAAAAAGCTTGTATGATACCTTAGTTAAGAATTTTGATAAATAAAATTAGGGCCAATATTTGATGCAACAATGTGCAATTCTATATACTGTAATAAATGAATTCATAAAATATTACTAATTACTCATTTGACGAGTAATAAAGGGATTATCTCAAAATCTTGTGAGTAAATTCCATAAATGCCCATAGGAGCACGATTAATCTGTTGACTAAAGAATCCGCATGTGCAATCTAAAGAGACTCGTTTAAAAAGCACATACCGTCGAGGCCAAATCTGACCGTACACATCCTTCCTCGTGTATCGTCGGTCCCAAGACCACGGACATCTGCAATGGAAACCGGAGGAAAAAAACTGAGTTAAATGAATGCAGAATGCAGCTTATAAAATATTGAAATGGTGCACGAGATTCAAAGTTTATGACCTTCGGATGAGTACAGCTCGGGAGGGAGTCGTACGGCAGGGCAACGGAATTACTTCGGATGTCTTGCTTCCTTGCCAAGCAAGAGTAACTAGCTTCGTTTTTGTTGCTACGGAATTGCCGATCGAGTTTGATTTAACGATACCTGGTTTTACAAAACAATAGAAATGGTCATACCTTCTTCTTTATCACGTAATGTTCAAGATAAGTGGGATTGGATCGGGAACAGCCATTTATTTACCTTTGATGAACCTCCATTAGCGGTGCAAGAAAATTCACGGCCGTATTCTTCGATATCAGAAGGTAAAAATAGCACACCAAGCTAGAAAGATTTATGCAGAACAAACATAATCTCGATGCTTAGTTGGCACAAACGAGTTGAAGGGTCAAATAACGAGAAAAGTTGAATAAACGCGATGCATTCATTTGTAGATTATCAACGTTCTTGAAATATTGGGAAAATGCAGAGCATTGACAACGTATGTACCTCGTAAGAACGGATCATCAACTGAGAATGTTCTTCTGAAGAGCTCCCCAGGCAGCTTTGCTGAGATTTGCAGAAGTTAGCAAGAACCAACTGCATCCATGGAGAAAGTTTTAGAACCCAGCACGAGATGGCTCGAAGTCGAACGTATAGCACAGGCATAGAAAATCTTAAAAATTAAAAGCTTTTGAAAGCATGATGTAGGGGCTGAATGAATCTTACGCCAGTTGTTGCCCTTGTAGCGGGTAAACGTCTTGATATGCGGCATTGCACGACTGAAACGCCCCAAAAAAGAAAAATCTTAAGGATCACAATGCTGATGATATTTCACAGCTTAATCTTTCACCATCGAAGAAATAGATATACCAGCGGCCGGTATGGCTTGCCTTCCACTTTGCCCAATACTTCTTCAAGAATCCTTTTTCCACATCTTTAGCGGACTTGGAATTGCACTTCCAGCAGCATACCCTAGGAAACAACGTAGAATAACAAATATAAAAGAAATTTCACTTGACGAGAAGTAGTATTTTTGTTCAACATCAACTTGTACCACTAACGAATTAGTTAAAGCCAAAAAATAATGTTGACACCGCGGAACCTACTTGATAGTACCTCTAAGGAGCATCTGACGTCCTCATCAGTAGGCCAAATTATCAATGGCTCCCCCAATCCAAGGGGAGTTTTATCTTCTGAATAACCCGATGACATTGAGGTTGCTAGCTCGGCCATCCATTTCTCGTCCAATGAACCGAGGGAGGAGAACTACAATAACCAGAACAAGAAAAAATGGCATCAGTGAAAGCAAAATATGTACAACTACTTTCTTCTCTTCATCTATAAATACCATGAAAAAAGGTCCCATAACTTGATGAGATTTCATTAAAGTTCGATCCCCGAGCTTTAAATTCAATCCAAATCACTGCATGACCACACATCACTAGAAGTCCAACAATACCTGATAAACTAGAGGAGATCTCTGGAAGTCTTTATCAAATACACACTCCTGGAGAACAGTACGCATCTTCATATGGCCCCATTTTTCATATTGGAACCCGTATGATATCCAGGGACGGATGCAATTAATCGAACCTGAAAACTTTCAAATAGTTTATAGGGTCCCATATATAGTTATGATCTGTAGGTATAGATCTAAAATATAACATCAAACAAATAAATTTATACCTTTGCCTCAGTGTAATTGAACTTCTTGAAGAATGTGGAATTAATGTTTAAGTCTCCTAGCGCTGGTAAATTAGCAGTGAACTCTGGCCACTGTAAGAATTCCAGAAAAGAAAGGCATTGCTATAACTATTATCAAATAATACACCACGACATATACCCGTAAGTAATTGTACGAAGGGAGAAATGTTTAAAAATTTGCTACCTTCAATGTGCTGAGATAGTCAATCAAGTCATTCTCAAATCCACATCCTTTTGCCGAGTTACTTTGATCTTTCCATGGGAAATCTTGCATCCATAAACCTTGACTTTTATTGTTCCAGTCAACGTATATTAAGTTTGCTGTATGAACAATAACTCTCACTCCTTTAGGATACACAAGAAGCATTGCCTTAGAATGGTGTGTGCCAAATGAAATCGGTAATGGCGGCTTGTGTAGAATCCAATTGTTAGGCTTGCTTCTCTATATAAAGAACAGCAATAATGTGAAAATCCAGAAATCGAGCTTCCAGCAATAAGAGACATTTAGACCCTATAGCTGACCTTCATAATATCCAGCCTGCTATCACCTTCCCCATGAATAACCAATACATTGGGAATTTTCACAAGTTTCGGACATGCTAAACGAGGCAAGATGCGGGAACAATGTTAGATGTACGAAAGCAGTATAAACCGGATATGAAAAAAGAAAAGCTCATAATCAAACAAGAACTACACCAAAATGAGACGTTGATAGAATAAAGAACATCATAACCGAAGTTCTTACACTATGTTACTTGAGGAACTGAGTAGCAGATGGCATCATAAAAGTTAAAGAAAATTCACCTGATATTAACCAATCATATCTACCATGTAATTCGAGAGGACCGCAAGAAGAACATCACCCTAGCAATGTCATAAACAATCAAGCGGTGATATATTCAGTAAAATAACATGAATCACTAATACCATTACCTCAATCACATCCCTATGGAAATAGAATTGGTATTTGCCCATGCTGGCAAACCTTGAACTTTCAAGAGACAAAATGTATGCGGTAACTTATCATTCGGAACCTGAAAACCACGAATAGCCTGAACACAGTTCTGCTCTTTGATGCTACTGTCTTGCTCCTCTGCCTATCAAATTAGAGCAAACCCATCAAAACCAAAGCTTTTAAAAGAAAAAAATATATAAGCAAAAACTTCAAATTTTAATACCTTCAACTGATTAGCCGAGTTTGCTTCATTTTTGGAGCCTTGATTTCGCATTTTCTTAGCAGCAAGTTCCGGGCTTTCTCCATCGCTGTTAGCTTCATTAAAAATTCTCTTCTTTTCCCCAGTTGATGATGATACGTATCTGAAAAGGTGATGACCGGAATCAGCTCTATGATATCACCATTGCTAATAGCAGCATTTTGCGGGAAGAAAGCTTCTTTCTCACCTTGCCGTACCTAACAACCACTGGATTCGTTCCCTCCTACAAAAACTCCACCAATTGATCAACAAGAGAGAGAGAGAGAGAGGATAAATTATTAAAAAAGAATGGAACATTACGACGAATAAATCGGCAGAGCCGTCGGGGGAAGCAGTTAAAGCAATGTGTTTGCTGCTGAGTCTCTTGTCGGGAACGGAAACATCGTTGCGGCCGATGAAATTGGGGCCGTGGAAGAGCGGGAGCTTAGGGAGTGAAGTGTCTTCTTCGAGATTGTTATTTACAGCAACCAAATATCCAATCTGCTAACAAATAAAGATACATTTTAACCATGAAATTAAAAGAAATAACAATAAAAAAGAGAATTATTTTAAAGGGGTTATTGACCTGTGATCGAGGCATGGGTGACGGAGTGGCGCTCGGTGCATGAAACAGAGAAACAAACGGTGGCTTCAAGAGAGTGGTGTCGTTCTTGTTCTGGCCTGGGCTTTTGGAGATTATTTGCAAACACGAGCAAGATAAAAGTTCTAATTTAATTAATTTCGAGGTAGTGGACTTTTGGGCCTGGAGGTGTGGTCCGGTGGGATGCACAGCAGTCCACTGATATAAGTAGGCAATGGTGGGGTGGCAGCTCGGAAGAGAGAAGCCAAATCCATGGAACATCATGTTGCACTCAACTTAACCTTTATCACATTGGATCGTAACATTAAGAATCAGAGTTTTTAACTAAACACATTTTTTTATTACTTTTTTCTCTTCTAGAAAAATGAAAATAACCTTTAGTTGTAAAGTGAGCTATTATGTGTATGGAAATATGAATTGTAAGCGCTCATAATTACAGTAGAATCGAATTAGATTTTGGACAAAACTCACTTCTTTGTGTGTAAAGACGTGAATGAAATCAAAATCTTGAAAGGCTTAACATATAAGCATAGCTATCCAATGACAAAATGAACTTTAAAATTTAGAAATGTTTAACAACTATGCTTTTACTACTCTGGCACAAGAATTGGATAGGGGTATCAAAATTTGGTAATCGGTAACAACCGTGTAAATAAAAGCAGAATCATGATACGAGTAAGACGTGGTTAATTTTCTTGAATGTTGAAGTTCCCGCAAACAATGTGGTGCGATAAAGCTCCCTATCTTCTGCGTTTGTTCTCTTTCCGCATTTCTGCTAGGTAGCTATCTAAGTTGGACTTTATCCATAACCGTCTCTGAACAAGATCTTCCTTGGTTGATTCATCTAAGGGACACGAATAAGCCTTTATTAAAATACGGGATATGGATAAAACCGGGACTTTGATAAGTATATCTGCTAGTCTACAAGCCTTAACTCAAACCATAGAAGGAAAGATCTATAATGCATGCACTTTACGGACGGTCCCATGATGATATTGTTGCGATACAATTCATATGGTAATATGCAAAATCTTTGATGAAATGAAGCATTTACTCTGACTAGTATAACAATGAAAATTAATATTTGGTAATTACTATGTTGATCACACATGCCAATATATGATTCTATCATCTATCAATCCTAAGTTGAAGTCCCCAAAAATGGTGTCCGTTTTATACAAAATGAATTTAAAACAAAGTTACCGATGTTTAGCCACGCATCAAGAGGAACTCTGAGGGAGTTTCTCGTCAAGTAAGCTGCGTCTTCCCAAGAATATGGAGCTTTCTTCACCTTGTATCTCCAGAACCAACAGCCATACCACAACAATAGCTGGAAAGACAGAAATTTAGTCAGTGACCAACTTCAGTCTAAAATGAAGTTTTCATACTAATACAATAACAGCAAGTCAAACACTCAGCTATACCCAACATATTTGGTATTTCACTAAATTACTAATCTTAACCCAAAATTGCAGCTATTTAAGCTCCATAGCACGTATTCTAACCTTGCCAATAGTGTAGGGGAGAAGAATGAAACGGACACCGATCAATTCCCAGATGGATGGCTTTTCAGCTCCCTTAATGTCCAGCTCAAGCTCTTTGCTGAGATCTTCCTCCTTTTTCCTACAGTTAAAATACGGGTAATTTCTATTGAAAAAGAATACAAAGTGAATAAAGGGTGGCATGCGCAGATTGCTGAAAGAGTGTTTAATGTAAACAAAACCACATTCCTCCATGTGTGGTTAATGTAAACAAAAACTAAACTGCTCTGTGTCTAATGTAAACAAACCACAATATTGTAGTACAATGTTAAGGGCTAAAACTGAAAAAACGTAAATGCAGCATACTTGTCCATTTGCCTGTTGCTCTTCTTCTTATTTGTGGTCCCTCCATTGCGTTCAAGTTCCAATGCCCGCAATCTGTTTTTGTAAGCAGGTGTCTTCTTAACCATATCTACAGCCTGAATCCAGAGAAGGGAAAGCGGGAGAAGCAATTAAAGGGTCAAACGAAGGGAAATGAAAGCACTTCTATGCGACATACTAGAAACAGTTAAGCTACAAAATTCTCCTGTGATGCTTTTTAATTATCATAACTAGCTGAAGAGGGGAGGGTAGAGTTGAATCTTTGTTGCTGACTCTCTACTCTTGGGGTAACAAGCAGTAAGGTAA